CGTGCCGATCCTCATCCTCTCGCCTCCCCCCATGATGATGTTGTTGTTGTTGATGAGGATGATGATGATGATGATGATGATGATGATGATGATGATGATGATGATGATGATGATGATGATTATGATGATGATGATGATGATGATGATGGCTGATGCGAGCTGATGCTGATGCTGATGATGATGATGCTGATGATGATGATGATGATGAGATGATGATGATGATGATGATGATTGATGATGATGATGATGATGATGATGATGAGATGATGATGATGATGATGATGATGATGATGATGATGATGATGCATCGGTGAGGAGGAGGAGGAGAGGAGAGGAGGAGGAGGAGGAGGAGGAGAGAGGGGAGGGAGAAGAGGAGGAGGAGGCGGAGGAGGAGGACGAGGGGGAGGAGGAGGGAGGAGGAGGAGGAGCGGAGGAGGAGGAGGAGGAGGAGGAAAAGTAGGCGTGAGGAGGAGGAGGAGAAGAGACAGAGAAGAAGGAGGAGGAGGAGGAGGATAATCAAAAGGAGGCGGAGGAGGAGTGGAGGAGGAGAGAGGAGGAGAAAAGAGAGGAGGAGGAGGAGGGGAGGAGAGGAGGAGTGAGGAGGAGGAGGATAAGGGGAGGGAGGAGGAGGAGGAGGAGAGGGAGAAGAGGGAGGAAGAGGAGGAGGAGGAGAGGGAGGGGAGGGATGAGGAGGAGGAGGAGGAGGAGGAGAGGAGGGGAGGAGGGAGGAGGGAGAGGAGGAGGAGGGATTGAGGAGGAGGGGAGGAGGAGGAGGAGGAGGAGGAGGAGGAGGAGGAGGGAGGAGGTTGAGGAGGCCTCGGCCCGACACGGTCGCAAGCCCGGGCCCCCTGATGTGCCTCCCCGCCTCCCTCCGCCCACCGTGCGGCAGGCCCTCTGCCGCTCGCTGGCGCCGTTGCCCTTCGGGAGGCGCGGTGGGCGGCGCCCGGAGCTCTCTCCGGCCGCTGCCCCGACTGGGCGTGATCCTCCTCCTCCTTCCTCTCCTCGTCGTCGTCGTCCTCCTCCTCCTCCTCCTTCTCCCTCTCCTCGTCCTCCTCCTCCTCCCCCTCCTCCTTCTCTTGCTCCTCATCCACCTCCTCCTCCTCCTCCTCCTCCTCCTCCTCCTCGTCCTCCTCCTCCTGCTCCTCGCAATCCTACTTTTCCCTCCCTCCCTCCCTCCTTTCCCCCCCCCTCCCACGGAGGGGCGTGGCCTTGCGCGCGGGCGCCCAGGCCCACCCTGAAGCACAAGGGGCCACGAGCTTGGCATCGCTCGGACGTGTGCATTTATTTCTCAGCGAGGACCTTCGAGGAGCATCTTGGATCATCTTGCGAGAACGTAAGCGCACGAAGTCGGGAAGATACGTGGGGAATGGACGTCCGAGCGATTGCAAGTGGAGTGGACCCCGTTGCGGCATGCAGGTAAATGTGATAACCCAACTCAAAGAGATGCTCTCGACCGCCTCGCTTTGACTTCGGCCTGGCTGATTGCCTCTGTCTGCTTCCCAGCCGCGATCGGATGGAGATGTTCTCGCCGTGCTTTGACCAGCCCCTGGGCCACAGGACAACGGGACACCCCGCCCCGATCGGGCGGGGCGGGTGGGTTCGAGGAAGGGGGAGCATTGAGGGCGAGAGGAGCGAGGAGAAGGGCGAGGGGTCAGAGTCGGACGAGGGAAGCGGGGGGGGGCAGGGAGGATGAGGATGAGCGGGGGGGCGGGAGGGGGAGAGGAGGGGGGCGAGGAGGGAGGCGAGGCAGAGGAAGGGGTGGAGGAGGGAGGGATGATGAGGATAGGAGGAAGAAGAGGAGGAGGGGGAAGCGGAGCAGGAGGAGGAGGAGGAGGCAGGATGACGAGGACGATGATGACGACGACTAGCTGGCGCAGGTGGACCCAAGCTTCCCTTTCTCCCAGAGAGCGATCTGCGACGATGGCCAGTTCGCATCTGCTGGAACGAAAGCTTTGATCCACACTCGTTCTTGTTTCAGCTCTAGCCTCAATCTCGGCTGGGCTCTGATCCCAAAGCTGCTGCTCCCGAGGCCTCCGAGTATGCTTGGCACCAGGAACGACCGCCCAGGACAGCATTGGCACCGACCTCGCATCGCACCCGCTCCACTGCTGCACCCCTCTCGCCGCGGAGGGGCGAGAGGAGGGGAAGAGGAGGGGCAGGAGGCCTGGTGGCCCTCGTGTGGACTCTCTCCATGTGCCAAGGGATGCGAGACACTGCCTGTGCTTGGATGCAAAGTCGGTCCTGCCATACCGAGGCTCCCCCAGCCCCCCCCCCCCCTCTCCGCCCCTCCTCTCGCAGCGGTCCTCCGGGGGGAGCCCCGCCCGCGCGCCCAACCCCGGGCTCCGCGCGCCGGGGGCCCCCGGCGCGGGCGCGGGTGCGGCGGGCGGTGGCGGCCGACGCCGCCGCGAGAGAGGCGGGCAGGAGGAGGTCGGTCGCTGCAGCGCGCCGCCTCGTCGAGCCTCGCCCGCCAGTCGGAGGGAAAGGCAGAGGCCTCGAGGGTCGTGGCGGCGTCCTCCAGCATGCGGGCAGTCGACGTGAAGCAGCACAAGAAAAACGCATGTTCTGCTTCTCCTCCTCCTCCTCCTCCTCCTCCTCCTCC